TCTCTTAAACACCAACCTTTAAACACCAACCCTTAAAGGCAAAGAACCTTGGTATCGGAGAAAATTATATCATGATCACCCACAGCGTTGTAACAGTGATCAGCTATGGCAGAAGAATTCGTTCTGCCGTGTTTCAAATTTGCAAACCCACGGGTTTTTATCAGAGATTTGTTCACGAAGCAATTCAGATCCACAAACACAGACACAATTTCAACCAAGAAGATGGTTTCAAATTAAGCAACCATTGGAAAGATGTTCTACATCGAACCAAACATTAAACTAATTTTCAATGGTACAGTATATTTTTCAAGTAGTGGTACCCCAAACTTTCGCAGCTCTTAAAAATTCCCTTTTCACACCATCAATAGGTAAACTCCCCCTCCGCGCCAACCGGCATGTGCACCCGCATGTACACCACCTCTACACCGTTCATCATGCTAAGTCGGCCAATCAAATGCTAATTTTCATGCTAATTCCTTTGTCAAGGCACCTTGTTTCCTCGCACACAGCTTAAACGTCGCGGTCTGAGCGTGGCTGTGTTTCATTCCAGCGCTGTCCTCGAGACAGCCTGGTCCCTTCACCTGATGAAGGCCGCTTGTGTTGTGGCCGAAACGTCGTGATTTTTGTTGTTTTATTTTTTACCTATGTGAATTTACCGAATAGAACCAAAGAGTATGGATCCTTGCAGTCACGAAAGCTTTAAATCTAGCAAACCCTTGTGTTTAAACATTTACTTTTAACGGTTGGCCCTTAAACGCAAACCCGAAAACAAAACCCTTAAACGCCAACCCTTAAACACGGCAAACCTTACACAGCAACGCCAACTCTTAAACACCAACCTTTGAACGTCAACCCTTGTGATCAAAAATTTACGTTTAAGAGTTTTTCCATGAACACAGTTAAACACAACCCTTAAACACCAACCGTTAAACGCAAACCCTTGTGTTAAAGCATTTACGTTTAAGGGTTAGCCCTTAAACGCAAACCTTTAAACACAACCCTTAAACACGAACAGTTAAACACAACCCTTAAATACAAACCCTTAAACGGAACCCTTGAAAACAAATCCTTAAACGCGAACCCTTAAACACCAACCCTTAAATGTCAACCCTTAAACACAAACCCTAAATCGCCAACCCTTAAAAAACAACCTTAAAACACCAACTTTAAACACCAACCCTTAAAGGCCAAACCTTACACACCAAACCTTTAAACACCAACCTGTAAACACCAACTCTTAAGCACCAACCCTTAAAGGCCAAACCTTACACGCCAAACTTTAAACACCAACCTGTAAACAGCAAACTCTTAAACACCAACCCTTAAACGCCAACCCATAAACGAAAACCCTTAAACGCCAACCCTTAAACGCCAACCCTTAAACACCAATGCCTAAACCCCAACTCCTAAACACCAACTCTTAAACACTAACCCTTAAATTCCAACCGTTAAACAACCAACCCTTAAACGCCAACCCTTAAACGGCCAACACTTAAACGCCAACCCTTAAAGGCCAACCCATAAACACTAAACCCTTAAACACCAACCCTTAAATGCCAACCACTAAAACGCCAACCATTATACGCCAACCCTTAAACGCCAAAACCTAAACACGCTTAAACACCAACCCTTAAACACCAACCTTTAAACGCCAACCCCTAAACGCCAACCCTTTAACGCCAACCCTTAAACGCCAACCTTTAAACACCAACCCTTAAACGCCATCTCTTAAACACCAACCTTTAAACACCAACCCTTAAAGGCCAAACCTTACACACCAAACCTTTAAACACCAACCTGTAAACACCAACTCTTAAGCAACAACCCTTTAAACACCAACCTGTAAACACCAACTCTTAAGCACCAATCCTTAAACGACAACCCTTTAAACGCCAGAAACCTAAACACGCTTATACACCAACCCTTAAACACCAACCCTTAAACGCCAACCCTTAAATGCCAACCATTATACGCCAACCCTTAAACGCCAAAACCTAAACACGCTTAAACATCAACCCTTAAACACCAACCTTTAAACGCCAACCCGTAAACGCCAACTTTTTAACGCCAACCCTTAAACGCCAACCCTTAAACACCAACCCTTAAACCCCATCTCTTAAACACCAACCCTTAAACGCCATCTCTTAAACACCAACCCTAAAACACCAACTCTTAAACGCCATCTCTTAAACACCAACCCTAAAACACCAACCCTTAAACGCCATCTCTTAAACACCAAACTTTAAACACCAACCCTTAAGGGCCAAACCTTACACGCCAAACCTTTAAACACCAACCTGTAAACACCAACTCTTAAGCACCAACCCTTAAACAAAAACCCTTAAACGCCAACCCTTAATCACCAACCCTTAAACGCCAACCCTTAGGCAACGCCAACCCATAAACGCCAACCATTACAAACGCCAACCCTTTAACGCCAACCCTTAAACGCCAACAATTAAACGCCAAAGTTTAAATGCCAACCCTTAAAACGCCAAACCTTAAACGCCAACCCTTAAACACCAATCCTTAAACACCAACCCTTAAATGCCAACCCTTAAACGTCAACCGTTAAACACCAACCCTTAAACACCAAAACCTAAACACGCTTAAACTCCAACCCTTGAAAGCCAACCCTTACAAACCGATGGTTAAACACCAACCCTTAAACGCAAACGCTTAAACGCCAACTCTTAAACGCCAACCCTTAAACGCTAACCCTTTGAAAGCCAACCCTTACACACCGACGGTTATAACCAATGCTTAAAACGCCAACTTTTAAACACCAACCCTTAAACAACAACCCTAAATCGCCAACCCTGAAACACCAACCCTTAAACGCCAACTCCTAAACACCTTCTTAAACACAAACCCTTAAATTCCAACCATTACACACCAACCTTTAAACGCCAAAACCTAAACACGCTTAAACACCGACCCGTAAAAAAACCAACCCATAAACGCCAACCCTTAAACGCCCAACCCGTAATCGCCAACCCTTGAACACCAACCCTTAAACGCCATCTCTTAAAGACCAACCTTTAAACACCAACCCTTAAACGAAAATCCTTAAACGCCAACCCTTAAACGCCAACCCTTAAACACCAACCCTTAAAGGCCAACCCTTAAACGCCAACGCTTAAACGTCAACCCTTAAACGCCAACCCTTAAACGCCAACCCTTAAACGCCAACCCTTAAACACCAATGCCTAAACCCCAACTCCTAAACACCAACTCTTAAACACTAACCCTTAAATTCCAACCGTTAAACAACCAACCCTTAAACGCCAACCCTTAAACGGCCAACCCTTAAACGCCAACCCTTAAAGGCCAACCCATAAACACTAAACCCTTAAACACCAACCCTTAAATGCCAACCACTAAAACGCCAACCATTATACGCCAACCCTTAAACGCCAAAACCTAAACACGCTTAAACACCAACCCTTAAACACCAACCTTTAAACGCCAACCCCTAAACGCCAACCCTTTAACGCCAACCCTTAAACGCCAACCCTTAAACACCAACCCTTAAACGCCATCTCTTAAACACCAGCCTTTAAACACCAACCCTTAAAGGCCAAACCTTACACACCAAACCTTTAAACACCAACCTGTAAACACCAACTCTTAAGCAACAACCCTTTAAATACCAACCTGTAAACACCAACTCTTAAGCACCAACCCTTAAACGACAACCCTTTAAACGCCAAAACCTAAACACGCTTAAACATCAACCCTTAAACACCAACTTTTAAACGCCAACCCGTAAACGCCAACTCTTTAACGCCAACCCTTAAACGCCAACCCTTAAACACCAACCCTTAAACGCCATCTCTTAAACACCAACCTTTAAACACCAACCCTTAAAGGCAAAGAACCTTGGTATCGGAGAAAATTATATCATGATCACCCACAGCGTTGTAACAGTGATCAGCTATGGCAGAAGAATTCGTTCTGCCGTGTTTCAAATTTGCAAACCCACGGGTTTTTATCAGAGATTTGTTCACGAGGCAATTCAGATCCACAAACACAGACACAATTTCAACCAAGAAGATGGTTTCAAATTAAGCAACCATTGGAAAGATGTTCTACATCGAACCAAACATTAAACTAATTTTCAATGGTACAGTATATTTTTCAAGTAGTGGTACCCCAAACTTTCGCAGCTCTTAAAAATTCCCTTTTCACACCATCAATAGGTAAACTCCCCCTCCCCCCCTCGCGCCAACCGGCATGTGCACCCGCATGTACACCACCTCTACACCGTTCATCATGCTAAGTCGGCCAATCAAATGCTAATTTTCATGCTAATTCCTTTGTCAAGGCACCTTGTTTCCTCGCACACAGCTTAAACATCGCGGTCTGAGCATGGCTGTGTTTCACTCCAGCGCTGTCCTCGAGACAGCCTGGTCCCTTCACCTGATGAAGGCCGCTTGTGTTGTGGCCGAAACGTCGTGATTTTTGTTGTTTTATTTTTTACCTATGTGAATTTACCGAATAGAACCAAAGAGTATGGATCCTTGCAGTCACGAAAGCTTTAAATCTAGCAAACCCTTGTGTTTAAACATTTACTTTTAACGGTTGGCCCTTAAACGCAAACCCGAAAACAAAACCCTTAAACGCCAACCCTTAAACACGGCAAACCTTACACAGCAACGCCAACTCTTAAACACCAACCTTTGAACGTCAACCCTTGTGATCAAAAATTTACGTTTAAGAGTTTTTCCATAAACACAGTTAAACACAACCCTTAAACACCAACCGTTAAACGCAAACCCTTGTGTTAAAGCATTTACGTTTAAGGGTTAGCCCTTAAACGTAAACCTTTAAACACAACCCTTAAACACAAACAGTTAAACACAACCCTTAAATACAAACCCTTAAACGGAACCCTTAAATACAAACCCTTAAACGCGAACCCTTAATCACCAACCCTTATTCGCCAAACGTTAAACACAACCCGAAAAACGCCAACCCTTAAACGCCAACCTTTAGAATCAGAATCAGAAAGGGTTTTATTCGCCATGAAAGTTCACACCGACACGGATCAAGAAATTACATTTCAGGGTTTTTCTATAAACACAAACAGTTAAACACAACCCTTAAATACAAACCCTTCAACACGAACCCTTAAACACCAACTCGTATGAGCCAAACGTTAAACACAAACCTTAAAACGCCAATTGTTAAACGCATTCCCTTGTGTTAAAGCATTTACGTTTAAGCGTTGACCCTTAAATGCAAACCCTAAAAAAAAGTTAAACGCCAAACCTTTATTGCCAACCCTTCCACAGCAACCCTTACACAGCAACTCTTACACACCAACACTTAATCGCATATTTCTCGTACTAAGGATTTTCGTGTAAGGGTTGGCCCTTAAACATAAACCTTTAAACACAATCCTTAAACGCCAACCCTTAAATACAGCAACCCTTACACAGCAACGCCAACTCTTAAACGCCAACCTTTGAGCGTCAACCCTTGTGATCAAGAAATTACATTTCAGGGCTTTTCCATAAATACAAACAGTTAAACACAACCCTTAAATACAAACCCTTAAACGCGAACCCTTAAACACCAAGCCTTATGCGCCAAACGTTAAAGACAACTATTAAACACCAACCGTTAAACGCAAACCCTTGTTTAAGCATTTACGTTTAAGGGTTGGCCCTTAAACGCAAGCCCAATAATATAACCCGTGAACGCCAAACCTTTAACGCCAACCCTTACACAGCAACCCTTACACAGCAACCCTTACACGCCAACCCTTAAACGCATATTTCTTGTGTTAAGGATTGCGTTTAAGGGTTGGCCCTTAAAGGCAAACCTTTAAACACAACCCTTAAACACCAACCCTTAAACACCAAACCAAACACAACCCTTAATTGGCCAACCCTTCAACGCAAACCCTTGTGTTTAAGCATTTACATTTAACAGTTGGCCCTTAAACGCAAACCCGAAAACAAAACCCTTAAACGCCAACCCTTAAACACAGCAACCCTTACACAGCAACGCCAACTCTTAAATGCCAACCTTTGAACATCAACCCTTGTGATCAAGAATTTACTTTTAAGAGTTTTTCCATAAACACAAACAGTTAAACACAACCCTTAAACACCAACCATTAAACGCAAACCCTTGTGTTAAAGCATTTACGTTAAAGGGTTAGCCCTTAAACGCAAACCTTTAAACACAACCCTTAAACAGTTAAACACAACCCTTAAATACAAACCCTTAAACGCGAACCCTTAAATACAAACCCTTAAACGCGAACCCTTAAACACCAACCCTTATTCGCCAAATGTTAAACACAACCCGTAAACGCCAACCCTTAAACGCCAACCATTAAACGCCAACCCTTACACAGCAACCGTTACACGCCATCCCTTAAAACGCATTTCATTGTGTTAAGAGTTTGCATTAAAGGGTTGGCCCTTAAATGTGAACCAAACACAACTCTTATAAGCCAACTCTTAAACGCCAACCCTTGAACATCAACCATTGTGATCAAGAATTTACTTTTAACGGTTTTTCCATAAACACAAACACTTAAACACAACCCTTAAATACAAACCCTTAAACGCGAACCCTTAAACACCAACTCGTATGCGCCAAACGTTAAACACAACCCTTAAACGCCAATTGTTAAACGCAATCCCTTGTGTTTACGTATTTGTGTTTACGGGTTGGCCCTAAAACGCAAACCCGAAAATAAATCCTTAAACGCCAAACCTTTATGGCCAACCCTTACACAGCAACCCTTACACAGCAAGTCTTACACGCCAACCCTTAATCGCAAATTTCTTGTGTTAAGGATTTGCCTTTAAGGGTTGGCCCTTAAACGCAAACCTTTAAAAACAACCCTTAAACACCAACCCTTAAACACAAAACCAAACACAACCCTTAATTGGCCAACCCTTCAACGCAAACCCTTGTGTTTAAGCATTTACATTTAACGGTTGGCCCTTAAACGCAAAACCGAAAACCTGCTGCTGGTACGTGTTGGGATACAGCAGTCCTCACAGAAGCTGATGTAGGACGTCACAGCCTCAGTGAGTTCATCCAGACTATTGGTAGCAGTCGTGAACATATCCCAGTCAGTACAGTCTAAGCACGCCCGCAAATCTTCCACAGCCTCACTGGTCCACTGTTTAGATGTCCTCACAGCAGGTTTACAGAGTTTTAGTTTCTGCCTGTATCCAGGAATCAGGTGGACCATGGCATGGTCAGAGTGTCCTAGTGCTGCTCGGGGGATGGCGTGGTAGGCTCTACTGACTGTAGTGTAGCAGTGATCCAGAGTGTTCCCTTCTCTGGTTGGGCATTCAATGAATTGTATGTATTTGGGGAGTTCGTGGCTGAGATTACCTTTGTTAAAGTCGCCAAGTACGATAACCAACGAATCTGGATTTGCTCGCTCCACACTCAGAATCTGATAGGCGAGCATGCGTTGGGCCTCTTTAACCTAAGGACAAGGCGGCAAATAAACTCCGACCAAAATGAGCGACACGAACTCGCGAGGCGAGTAAAACGGTTTACAGGTTATAAAAATTGATTCAAGGAGTGGAGAACAATGTTGCAGAATCACTGTGACATCTACACACCAGCCACTGTTAATGTAAAAACAAATACCACCGCGTTTCGTCTTGCCGGAGAGTGCTATGTCACGATCCGATCTTACAAGATGGAATCCTGCTAGTTGTAGCGAAGTGTCCGGAATCAAATCACACAGCCATGTCTCCGTGAAGCACAAAACAGAAGATGAAAGAAAGTCTTTGTTTTTTACCATCAGTAGCTGAAGTTCATCTATTTTGTTGTACAGTGAACGTACGTTGGAGAGGAAAAAGCTCGGAAGCACTGTTCGGATCCCGCGTCTGCGTAGCCGTACTAGAGCCCCCGACCGTTTACCCCTTGGGCGGCGTTTCGCTGCTTGAGCAAAGCCTAGCGCGCCATTGACTAGAATGCCTACTAATTCTGCCGCTGGAAGCAGAAAAGTAGGAATTAAATCCACAGGAGTTGTTTCCCTGATATTTAAAAGTTCGTCTCTTGTTATAGAACTCCGAAAATCTTGGCAAAACACTGAATTGACAGACAAAACAAGACAAAACAGGGCGCACCGACCGGCTGAGGCTACCATCATCGGCGCCATCTTCTCACCAGCACGGGTGTGCTGAACAGCAGGACTCTCTCACCAGCACTGGTGTGATGAACAGTAGGCCCCTCTCACCAGCACGGGTGTGATGAACAGTAGGCCTCTCTCACCAGCACGGGTGTGTTGAACAGCAGGCCCCTCTTACCAACACGGGTGTGATGAACAGCAGGCCCCTCTCACCAGCACGGGTGTGATGAACAGTAGGCCTCTCTCACCAGCACGGGTGTGTTGCACAGCAGGCCCCTCTCACCAGCACGGGTGTGCTGAACAGCAGGCCCCTCTCACCAACACGGGTGTGATGAACAGCAGGCCCCTCTCACCAGCACGGGTGTGATGAACAGTAGGTCTCTCTCACCAGCACGGGTGTGCTGAACAGCAGGCCCCTCTCACCAGCACGGGTGTGTTGAACAGCAGGCCCCTCTCACATGGGTGTGATGAACAGCAGGCCCCTCTCACCAGCACGGGTGTGCTGAACAGCAGGCCCCTCTCACCAACACGGGTGTGATGAACAGCAGGCCCCTCTCACCAGCACGGGTGTGATGAACAGTAGGCCTCTCTCACCAGCACGGGTGTGCTGAACAGCAGGCCTCTCTCACCAGCACGGGTGTGTTGCACAGCAGGCCCCTCTCACCAGCACAGGTGTGCTGAACAGCAGGCCCCTCTCACCAACACGGGTGTGATGAACAGCAGGCCCCTCTCACCAGCACGGGTGTGATGAACAGTAGGCCTCTCTCACCAGCACAGGTGTGCTGAACAGCAGGCCCCTCTCACCAGCACGGGTGTGTTGAACAGCAGGCCCCTCTCACCACACGGGTGTGATGAACAGCAGGCCCCTCTCACCGGCACGGGTGTGTTGAACAGCAGGCCCCTCTCACCAGCACAGGTGTGCTGAACAGCAGGCCCCTCTCACCAGCACGGGTGTGCTGAACAGCAGGCCCCTCTCACCAGCACGAGTGTGCTGAACAGCAGGCCTCTCTCACCAACACGGGCGTGATGAACAGCAGGCCCCTCTCACCAGCACGGGTGTGCTGAACAGCAGGCCCCTCTCACAGCACGGGTGTGCTGAACAGTAGGCCCCTCAACACGGGTGTGCTGAACAGCAGGCCCCTCTCACAGCACGGGTGTGCTGAACAGTAGGCCCCTCAACACGGGTGTGCTGAACAGCAGGCCTCTCTCACCAGCACGGGTGTGCTGAACAGCAGGCCCCTCAACAGCAGGCCTCTCGCCAGCACAGGTGTGCTGAACAGCAGGCCCCTCAACAGCAGGCCTCTCTCACCAGCACGGCTGTGCTGAACAGCAGGCCCCTCAACAGCAGGCCTCTCTCACCAGCACGGCTGTGCTGAACAGCAGGCCCCTCAACAGCAGGCCCCTCTCACCAGCACGGGTGTGCTAAACAGCAGGCCCCTCAACAGCAGGCCTCTCTCACCAGCACAGGTGTGCTGAACAGCAGGCCCCTCTCACCAGCACGGGTGTGCTGAACAGCAGGCCTCTCTCACCAACACGGGTGTGCTGAACAGCAGGCCTCTCTCACCAACACGGGTGTGATGAACAGCAGGCCCCTCTCACCAGCACGGGTGTGTTGAACAGCAGGCCCCTCTCACCATACGGGTGTGTTGAACAGCAGGCCCCTCTTACCAACACAGGTGTGATGAACAGCAGGCCCCTCTCACCAGCACGGGTGTGATGAACAGCAGGCCTCTCTCACCAGCACGGGTGTGCTGAACAGCAGGCCTCTCTCACCAGCACGGGTGTGCTGAACAGCAGGCCTCTCTCACCAGCACGGGTGTGTTGAACAGCAGGCCCCTCTCACCATATGGGTGTGTTGAACAGCAGGCCCCTCTTACCAACACAGGTGTGATGAACAGCAGGCCCCTCTTACCAGCACGGGTGTGATGAACAGTAGGCCTCTCTCACCAGCACGGGTGTGTTGCACAGCAGGCCCCTCTCACCAGCACAGGTGTGTTGAACAGCAGGCCCCTCTCACCAACACGGGTGTGATGAACAGCAGGCCCCTCTCACCAGCACGGGTGTGATGAACAGTAGGCCTCTCTCACCAGCACAGGTGTGCTGAACAGCAGGCCCCTCTCACCAGCACGGGTGTGTTGAACAGCAGGCCCCTCTCACCACACGGGTGTGATGAACAGCAGGCCCCTCTCACCAGCACGGGTGTGTTGAACAGCAGGCCCCTCTCACCAGCACAGGTGTGCTGAACAGCAGGCCCCTCTCACCAGCACGGGTGTGCTGAACAGCAGGCCCCTCTCACCAGCACGGGTGTGCTGAACAGCAGGCCTCTCTCACCAACACGGGCGTGATGAACAGCAGGCCCCTCTCACCAGCACGGGTGTGCTGAACAGCAGGCCCCTCTCACAGCACGGGTGTGCTGAACAGTAGGCCCCTCAACACGGGTGTGCTGAACAGCAGGCCCCTCTCACAGCACGGGTGTGCTGAACAGTAGGCCCCTCAACACGGGTGTGCTGAACAGCAGGCCTCTCTCACCAGCACGGGTGTGCTGAACAGCAGGCCCCTCAACAGCAGGCCTCTCGCCAGCACAGTTGTGCTGAACAGCAGGCCCCTCAACAGCAGGCCTCTCTCACCAGCACGGCTGTGCTGAACAGCAGGCCCCTCAACAGCAGGCCTCTCTCACCAGCACGGCTGTGCTGAACAGCAGGCCCCTCAACAGCAGGCCCCTCTCACCAGCACGGGTGTGCTAAACAGCAGGCCCCTCAACAGCAGGCCTCTCTCACCAGCACAGGTGTGCTGAACAGCAGGCCCCTCTCACCAGCACGGGTGTGCTGAACAGCAGGCCTCTCTCACCAACACGGGTGTGCTGAACAGCAGGCCTCTCTCACCAACACGGGTGTGATGAACAGCAGGCCCCTCTCACCAGCACGGGTGTGCTGAACAGCAGGCCCCTCTCACCAGCACGGGTGTGCTGAACAGCAGGCCCCTTAACACGGGTGTGCTGAACAGCAGGCCTCTCTCACCAGCACGGGTGTGCTGAACAGCAGGCCCCTCAAAAGCAGGCCTCTCTCACCAGCACAGGTGTGCTGAACAGCAGGCCCCTCTCACCAGCACGGGTGTGCTGAACAGCAGGCCTCTCTCACCAGCACGGGTGTGTTGAACAGCAGGCCCCTCTCACCAGCACGGGTGTTCTGAACAGCAGGCCCCTTAACACGGGTGTGCTGAACAGCAGGCCTCTCTCACCAGCACGGGTGTGCTGAACAGCAGGCCTCTCTCACCAGCACGGGTGTGTTGAACAGCAGGCCCCTCTCACCACATGGGTGTGTTGAACAGCAGGCCCCTCTTACCAACACAGGTGTGATGAACAGCAGGCCCCTCTCACCAGCACGGGTGTGATGAACAGTAGGCCTCTCTCACCAGCACGGGTGTGTTGCACAGCAGGCCCCTCTCACCAGCACGGGTGTGTTGAACAGCAGGCCCCTCTCACCACACGGGGGTGATGAACAGCAGGCCCCTCTCACCAGCACGGGTGTGTTGAACAGCAGGCCCCTCTCACCAGCACAGGTGTGCTGAACAGCAGGCCCCTCTCACCAGCACGGGTGTGCTGAACAGCAGGCCCCTCTCACCAGCACGGGTGTGCTGAACAGCAGGCCTCTCTCACCAACACGGGCGTAATGAACAGCAGGCCCCTCTCACCAGCACGGGTGTGCTGAACAGCAGGCCCCTCTCACAGCACGGGTGTGCTGAACAGTAGGCCCCTCAACACGGGTGTGCTGAACAGCAGGCCTCTCTCACCAGTACGGGTGTGCTGAACAGCAGGCCCCTCAACAGCAGGCCTCTCGCCAGCACAGGTGTGCTGAACAGCAGGCCCCTCAACAGCAGGCCTCTCTTACCAGCACGGCTGTGCTGAACAGCAGGCCCCTCAACAGCAGGCCTCTCTCACCAGCACGGCTGTGCTGAACAGCAGGCCCCTCAACAGCAGGCCCCTCTCACCAGCACGGGTGTGCTAAACAGCAGGCCCCTCAACAGCAGGCCTCTCTCACCAGCACAGGTGTGCTGAACAGCAGGCCCCTCTCACCAGCGCGGGTGTGCTGAACAGCAGGCCTCTCTCACCAACACAGGTGTGCTGAACAGCAGGCCTCTCTCACCAACACGGGTGTGATGAACAGCAGGCCCCTCTCACCAGCACGGGTGTGCTGAACAGCAGGCCCCTCTCACCAGCACGGGTGTGCTGAACAGCAGGCCCCTTAACACGGGTGTGCTGAACAGCAGGCCTCTCTCACCAGCACGGGTGTGCTGAACAGCAGGCCCCTCAACAGCAGGCCTCTCTCACCAGCACAGGTGTGCTGAACAGCAGGCCCCTCTCACCAGCACAGGTGTGCTGAACAGCAGGCCTCTCTCACTAGCACAGGTGTGTTGAACAGCAGGCCCCTCTCACCAGCACGGGTGTGCTGAACAGCAGGCCCCTTAACACGGGTGTGCTGAACAGCAGGCCTCTCTCACCAGCACGGGTGTGCTGAACAGCAGGCCCCTCAACAGCAGGCCTCTCTCACCAGCACAGGTGTGCTGAACAGCAGGCCCCTCTCACCAGCGCAGGTGCGCTGAACAGCAGGCCTCTCTCACCAGCACGGGTGTGTTGAACAGTAGGCCCCTCTCAAGACAAAACTAGACAAAACAGGGCGCACCAACCGGCCGAGGCTGCCATCATCGGCGCCATCTTGATTACCGCCAACCCTTACACAGCAACCGTTACACGCCATCCCTTAAAACGCATTTCATTGTGTTAAGAGTTTGCATTAAAGGGTTGGCCCTTAAATGCAAACCAAACACAACTCTTGTAAGCCAACTCTTAAACGCCAACCCTTGAACATCAACCCTTGTGATCAAGAATTTCCTTTTAAGGGTGTTTTCCATAAACACAAACACTTAAACACAACCCTTAAATACAAACCATTAAACGCGAACCCTGAAACAGCAACTCGTATGCGCCAAACATTAAACACAACCCTTAAACGCCATTTGTTAAACGCAATCCATTGTGTTAAAGCATTTACGTTTAAGCGTTGGCCCTTAAACGCAAACCCTAAAAAAAAAAGTTAAACGCCAAACCTTTATTGCCCACCCTTACACAGCAACTCTTACACGCCAACCCTTAATCGCATATTTCTCGTGCTAAGGATTTGCGTTTAAGGGTTGGTCCTTAAACGTAAACCTTTAAACACAATCCTTAAACGCCAACCCTTAAATACAGCAACCCTTACACAGCAACGCCAACTCTTAAACGCCAACCTTTGAGCGTCAACCCTTGTGATCAAGAAATTACATTTCAGGGCTTTTCCATAAACACAAAGAGTTAAACACAACCCTCAAATACAAATCCTTAAACGCGAACCCTGAAACACCAAGCCTTATGCGCCAAACGTCAAACACAACCCTTAAACACCAACCGTTAAACGCAAACCCTTGTCATTTTAAAGCTTTCGTGACTGCAAGGATTCATCTTCTTTGGTTCTTTCGGTAAAGTCACGTAGAATGAGAATAAAATAATAAATTGATAAAATAAAATAACACAATATTCTCACGACGTTTCGGCCACAACACAAGCGGCCTTCATCAGGTGAAGGGACGAGACTGTCTGCTCCAGACAGTCTCGTCCCTTCACCTGATGCTCCAGACAGTCTCGTCCCTTCACCTGATGAAGGCCGCTTGTGTTGTGGCCGAAACGTCGTGAGAGTATTATTGTGTTATTTTATTTTATCAATTTATTATTTTATTCTCATTCTACGTGACTTTACCGAAAGAACCAAAGAATGCAAAACCTTGTGTTTAAGCATTTACGTTTAAGGGTTGGCCCTTAAACGCAAGCCCAAAAATATGTTGCATACTCGAAATGAAGGACATGGGCAAGTGCTCCAAATCGAGGGCAAGCACATTTATTGTGGTTAATCTGTAATCTTGTGAAGAACAGCACCGTCACTCTGTAAAATGCACCAACACGTGTGTCACACACAGAATTTCTTCCGAGTCGCCATTAACCTTGTCGCGGGTTTACAAGCGCGGTTAATCATTCACAGTTTTCTCTTACACCCAATTCTACTACTGATAAACCATCTTTGTCTTTGACAATCACATTTGCACATCACTATTCGAATATTACTTTAATCCTAAGCTGTATGTCTATCTATACCATCCACTTATCTCGGTGTCTTACACCCATTATATGTACTGTATGTGTACAGTATACGTACTGTATATCACCATTGTACAGCTTACTATTTACATGTGTTCTATTCTCAATAGCATTGCAAGTAGTCATACTCTGGGTACATGGGCATGGTTATAGACTAAACAGTATTAGAGTTAATGAATTACAATGACAGTAGGTAATTACAGTGCCTCATCCCTTTACAATGCACAGTGCTAAAACCCCTCTAATTGCATATATCACAAACGAACAATTCAAAGCCAAGCTTAACGTCTAGAACAAGTCAAGAACATTTATATAACGATCAAAAACAACCTTTGGGTCCTTTACCTGTAAAATGCACCAACACGTGTGTCACACACAGCATTTCTTCCGAGTCGCCATTAACCGGTGGCGGGTTTACAAGCGCGGTTAATCATTAACCCTGCCAGCCACCTACAGGCCCAACTCAGTCATCACATGCTGCTGTACACACACGCACTAATGCACCGCACAGCACATCAGGACGTTCATAGAACCACACTTTTACTCCCTTGCTGCACAAGGATATAATTAAAAGTCGTCCCTTCCTAATGTGCCTCAATAACCCGTAAACGCCAAACCTTTAACGCCAACCCTTACACAGCAACCCTTACACAGCAACCCTTACACGCCAACCCTTAAACGCATATTTCTTGTGTTAAGGATTTGCGTTTATGGGTTGGCCCTTAAACGCAAACTTTTAAACACAACCCTTAAACGCCAAACCAAACACAACCCTTAAACGGCCTACCCTTAAACGCAACCCCTTGTGTTTAAGCATTTTCGTTTAAGGGTTGGCCCTAAAACGCAAACCCGAAAATAAATCCTTAAACGCCAAACCTTTATGGCCAACCCTTACACAGCAACCCTTACACAGCAAGTCTTACACGCGAACCCTTAATCGCATATTTCTTGTGTTAAGGATTTGCGTTTAAGGGCCAACCCTTAAACGCAAACCTTTAAACACAACCCTTAAACACCAATCCTTAAACACCAAACCAAACACAACCCTTAATTGGCCAATCCTTCAACGCAAACCCTTGTGTTTAAGCATTTACATTTAACGGTTGGCCCTTAAACGCAAACCCGAAAACAAAACCCTTAAATGCCAACCCTTAAACACAGCAATCCTTACACAGCAACGCCAACTCTTGAACGCCAACCTTTCAACATCAACCCTTGTGATCAAGAATTTACGTTTAAGAGTTTTTCCATGAACACAAACAGTTAAACACAACCCTTAAACACCAACCGTTAAATGCAAACCCTTGTGTTAAAGCATTTACGTTTAAGGGTTAGCCCTTAAACGCAAACCTTTAAACACAACCCTTAAACACAAACAGTTAAACACAACCCTTAAATCCAAACCCTTAAACGGAACCCTTAAATACAAACCCTTAAACGCGAACCCTTAAACACCAACCCTCATTCGCCAAACGTTAAACACAACCCGTAAACGCCAACCCTTAAACGCCAACCTTTAAACGCCAACCCTTACACAGAAACCGTTACACGCCATTCCTTAAAACGCATTTAATTGTGTTAAGAGTTTGCATTAAAGGGTTGGCCCTTAAATGCAAACCAAACACAACTCTTGTAAAGGGATCAGGCTGTCTCGAAGACAGCGCTGGAGTGGAACACAGCCATGCTCAGACAGCGCTGTCCTCGAGACAGCCTGATCCCTTCACCTGATGAAAGCCGCTTGTGTTGTGGCCGAAACGTCGTGATTTTTTGTGTTTTATTTTTTACCTACGTGACTTTACCGAATAGAACCAAAGAGTATGGATCCTTGCAGTCACGAAAGCTTTAAATCTAGAATACAACTCTTGTAAGCCAACTCTTAAACGCCAACCCTTGAACATCAACCCTTGTGATCAAGAATTTCCTTTTAAGGGTTTTTCCATAAACACAAACACTTAAACACAACCCTTAAACGCGAACTCGTATGCGCCAAATGTTAAACACAACCCTTAAACGCCATTTGTTAAACGCAATCCATTGTGTTAAAGCATTTACGTTTAAGCGTTGGCCCTTAAATGCAAACACTAAAAAAAAAAGTTAAACGTCAAACCTTTATTGCCAACCCTTACACAGCAACCCTTACACAGCAACTCTTACACGCAAAACCCTTAATTGCATATTTCTCGTACTAAGGATTTGCGTTTAAGGGTTGGCCCTTAAATGTAAACCTTTAAACACAATCCTTAAATGCCAACCCTTAAATACAGCAACCCTTACACAGCAACACCAACTCTTAAACGCCAACCTTTGAGCGTCAACCCTTGTGATCAAGAAATTACATTTCAGGGTTTTTCCATAAACACAAACAGTTAAACACAACCCTTAAATACAAACCCTTAAACGCGAACCCTTAAACACCAAGCCTTATGCGCCAAACAGTTAAACACAACTCTTAAATACAAACCCTTAAACGCGAACCCTTAAATACAAACCCTTAAACGCCATCCCTTACACAGCAACCCTTACACAGCAACCCTTACACGCCAACCCTTAAACGCATATTTCTTGTGTTAAAGATTTGTGTTTAAGGGTTGGCCCTTAAACGCAAACCTTTAAACACAACCCTTAAATGCCAAACCAAACACAACCCTTAAACGGCCTACCCTTAAACGCAAAGCCTTGTGTTTAAGCATTAACGTTTAAGGGTTGGCCCTAAAACGCAAACCCGAAAATAAAACCCATAAACGACAACCCTTAAACACAGCAACCCTTACACAGCAATGCCAACTCTTAAACGCCAACCTTTGAAAGTCAACCCTTGTGATCAAGAAATTAACGCAAACCAAACACAACCCTTATACGCCAACTCTTAAACGCCAACCCTTACAGAGTAACCCTTAACACGGAAACCCTTACATGCCAACCCTTAAACGCACATTTCTTGTGTTACGGATTTGCGTTTAAGGGTTAGCCCTTTAACGCAAACTTTTAAACACAAACCGTAAATACAAACCCTTAAACGCGAACCCTTTAACACCAACCCTTATGTGCCAAACGTTAAACAACCCGTAAACGTCAACCCTTAAACGCCAACCTTTAAACGCCAACGCTTAAATGTCAACTTTTAAACACGAAACCTTTAACGCCAACTATGACACAGCAACCTGTACACGGCAAGTCGTAAACGCATATTTCTTGTGTTAAGGATTTGCGTTAAAGGGTTGGCCCTGAAACGCAAACCTTTAAACACAACCCTATAACCCCAAACCTTTAACGCAAACCCTTACACAGCAACCCTTACACAGCAACCCTTACACTCCAACCCTTAAACGCATATTTCTTGTGTTAAGGATTTGTGTTCAAGGGTTGGCCCTTAAACGCAAACCTTTAAACACAACACTTAAATGCCAAACACAAACACAACCCTTAAAGGGCCTACCCTTAAACGCAAACCCTTGTGTTAAAGCATTTACGTTTAAGCGTTGGCCCTTAAACGCAAACCCTAAACAAAATCCTTAAACGCCAACCCTTCATGGCCAACCCTTACACAGCAACCCTTAAACAGCAAGTCTTAAACGCTAACCCTTAATCGCATATTTCTTGTGTTAAGGATTTGTGTTTAAGGGTTGGCCCTTAAACGCAAACCTTTAAGCACAACCCTTAAACACCAACCCTTAAATGCCAAACCAAACACAACCCTTAAACGGCCAACCCTTCAACGCAAACCCTTTTGTTTAAGCATTTACATTTGACGGTTGGCCCTTAAACGCAAACCCAAACACAAAACCCTTAAACGCCAACCCTTAAACACAGCAAACCTTACACAGCAACGCCAACTCTTAAACGCCAACCTTTGAACGTCAACCCTTGTGATCAAGAATTTACGTTTAAGAGTTTTATCCATAAACACAAACAGTTAAACACAACCCTTAAACACCATCCGTTAAACGCAAACCCTTTTGTTAAAGCATTTACGTTTAAGGGTTAGCCCTTAAACGCAAGCCTTTAAACATAACCCTTAAACACAAACAGTTAAACACAACTCTTAAATACAAACCCTTAAACGCGAACCCTTAAATACAAAGCCTTAAACGCCATCCCTTACACAGCAACCCTTACACAGCAACCCTTACACGCCAACCCCTAAACGCATATTTCTTGTGTTAAGGATTTGTGTTTAAGGGTTGGCCCTTAAACGCAAACCTTTAAACACAACACTTAAATGCCAAACCAAACACAACCCTTAAACGGCCTATCCTTAAACGCAAAGCCTTGTGTTTAAGCATTTACGTTTAAGGGTTGGCACTAAAACGCAAACCCGAAAAAAAACCCATAAACGACAACCCTTAAACACAGCAACCCTTACACAGCAATGCCAACTCTTAAACACCAACCTTTGAACGTCAACCCTTGTGATCAAGAAATTAACACAAGCCAAACACAACCCTTATACGCCAACTCTTAAACGCCAACCCTTAAATGCAAACCCTTGTTTTTAAGCATTTACGTTTAAGGGTTGGCCCTTAAACGCAAACCATGAAACAAAACCCTTAAACACCAAACCTTTAACGCCAACCCTTACAGAGTAACCCATAACACGGAAACCCTTACATGCCAACCCTTAAACGCACATTTCTTGTGTTAAGGATTTGTATTTAAGGGTTAGCCCTTTAACGCAAACTTTTAAACACAAACCTTAAATAAAAACCCTTAAACGCGAACCATTAAACACCAACCCTTATGTGCCAAACATTAAACACAACCCGTAAACGTCAACCCTTAAACGCCAACCTTTAAACGCCAATCCTTAAATGTCAACATTTAAACACGAAACCTTTAACGCCAACTATGACACAGAAACCTGTACACGGCAAGTCGTAAATGCATATTTCTTGTGTTAAGGATTTGCGTTAAAGGGTTGGCCCTGAAACGCAAACCTTTAAACACAACCCTATAACGCCAAACCTTTAAGGCCAACCCTTACACAGCAACCCTTACACAGCAACCCTTACACGCCAACCCTTAAACGCATATTTCTTGTGGTAAGGATTTGTGTTCAAGGGTTGGCCATTAAACGCAAACCTTTAAACACAACCCTTAAACGCCAAACCAAACACAACCCTTTAACGGCCTACCCTTAAACGCAAACCCTTGTGTTAAAGCATTTACGTTTAAGCGTTGGCCCTTAAACGCAAACCCTAAAAAAAATCCTTAAACGACAGACCTTTATGGCCAACCCTTACACAGCAACCCTTAAACAGCAAGTCTTAAACGCCAACCCTTAATCGCATATTTCTTGTGTTAAGGATTTGTGTTTAAGGGTTGGCCCTTAAACGCAAACCTTTAAGCACAACCCTTAAACACCAACCCTTAAATGCCAAACCAAACACAACCCTTAAACGGCCAACCCTTCAACGCAAACCTTTTTGTTTAAGCATTTACATTTAACGGTTGGCCCTTAAACGCAAACCCGAAAACAAAACACTTAAACGCCAACCCTTAAACACAGCAACCCTTACACAGAAACGCCAACTCTTAAACGCCAACCTTTGAACGTCAACCCTTGTGATCAAGAATTTACGTTTAAAAGTTTTTTCCATAAACACAAACAGTTAAACACAACCCTTAAACACCAACCGTTAAACGCAAACCCTTGTGTTAAAGCATTTACGTTTAAGGGTTAGCCCTTAAACGCAAACCTTTAAACATAACCCTTAACCACAAACAGTTAAAAACAACTCTTAAATACAAACCCTTAAACGCGAACCCTTAAATACAAACCCTTAAACGCCATCCCTTACACAGCAACCCTTACACAGCAACCCTTACACGCCAACCCTTAAACGCATATTTCTTGTGTTAAAGATTTGTGTTTAAGGGTTGGCCCTTAAACGCAAACCTTTAAACACAACCCTTAAATGCCAAACCAAACACAACCCTTAAACGGCCTACCCTTAAACGCAAAGCCTTGTGTTTAAGCATTTACGTTTAAGGGTTGGCCCTAAAATGCAAACCCGAAAATAAAACCCATAAACGACAACCCTTATACACAGCAACCCTTACACAGCAATGCCAACTCTTAAACGCCAACCTTTGAAAGTCAACCCTTGTGATCAAGAAATTAACGCAAACCAAACACAACCCTTATACGCCAACTCTTAAACGCCAACCCTTACAGAGTAACCCTTAACACGGAAACCCTTACATGCCAACCCTTAAACGCACATTTCTTGTGTTACGGATTTGCGTTTAAGGGTTGGCCCTTTAACGCAAACTTTTAAACACAAACCGTAAATACAAACCCTTAAACGCGAACCCTTTAACACCAACCCTTATGCGCCAAACGTTAAACAACCCGTAAACGTCAACCCTTAAACGCCAACCTTTAAACGCCAACGCTTAAATGTCAACTTTTAAACACGAAACCATTAACGCCAACTATGACACAGCAACCTGTACACGGCGAGTCGTAAACGCATATTGCTTGTGTTAAGGATTTGCGTTAAAGGGTTGGCCCTGAAACACAAACCTTTAAACACAACCCTATAACCCCAAACCTTTAACGCCAACCCTTACACAGCAACCCTTACACAGCAACCCTTACACTCCAACCCTTAAACGCATATTTCTTGTGTTAAGGATTTGTGTTCAAGGGTTGGCCCTTAAACGCAAACCTTTAAACACAACCCTTAAACGCCAAACCAAACAC